TTTTTTTTTTTTTTTTTAATTAAATGCTTCGATTTGGAAAAAGCTTCTCTTGTCTGACCTCGCACAAAGGAGCCCACGGAGCCTGCTTTCTACTTCCAGTCTTTGTTAAAATCAGCTCCTTTTGTCTTTTAACAAAGTCACCCCCCTTCTTTTCTGGGTCACGAAGGGAGCAGAGCTCCAGCAACCCCCTTAGGCTGGTTCCCTGCGATTCCCTTTGAAGGGCTGTTGAACCGTGGTGGCCTAAGGACACAGGCAGGCGAGGTTCTTTGGGTAGATCTTTTATTAGACCGACTAAATAGCTGGAACGCTCTTGTATTCTATCCTAGTTATTTGTCCGAGTTTCCACTTCTTATAAGCTTTCTTTTTCTGACTTAGCTTAAAGGGCACAGCATGGGGCTGTGATTCAGGTGGCCCACACTCTCTGCTCTGCTAGGTGAGCCGGGGGCAAGCCATTTCCCCTCTCTGTGCTGCAGCATTTGTCCCCCAAAATGAGGGGGAGTGAGTGACAGGCTTCCAGTGAAGCCTGCTTTTTGCTGTCACACTGCGCTGGAGCGAAGGTGGGGACTGGGCTCGCCGCTGTTTGGGAATCACAAGGCGAAGTGTGACTTGAAAGCTTGCAAAGAACAATTTTTTGCAACTATTTACTTGGTCTAACAGAAGAGATCACATCACTGCTTCAGCTATTGAGTTGGTCTGATACAAGGGGCTCACCTCTCCCCAAAGAGCCTGCTTTCTACTGTCACACTGCTCTGCGGGGAAGGTGGAGATGGGGCTTGCCGCTGTTTGGGAATCATAAGGCGAAGTGTGACTCAAGCTTGCAAAGACCAATTTTTGCAGCTATTTACTTGGCCTAATAAAAAAGGCTCACACCCCTGCTCCAGCTATTGAGTTGGTCTAATAGAAAGAGATGGCATCACTGCTCCACTTCTTTGATGTAATAAAAGGGATTGTTTCAAGCGTTTCGCATCGCTGCTCCGGGTGAGCTAATAAACACTGCTCCGGTTCTTGAGCGGGTCTAATAAGAAACACCCCACGCTTGCCCCAACTGTGTCACGGCTCTGACAGAAGCGACCGCCCCCTTGTTCCTAGGGGTGACGAGGAGGGTCACCTCACGGCCCCGCCGCGAGTCGTGAGGTAAACGGCGCCGGCTGCGGGCGGGGAGCAGGCCGCGGCGGCGAGCAGGTGCCGGCGGGGCCGGGGGCGGGGCC